ACACTGAATGGAACAGCTCATCAGTACCGTGTTAACCCGTATCAGCCGTCACGATCACTGCGGTCGGAGACAGAATCTTTGTTGTGTGTCGCAAAATCTCGTACTGTGACCAACGGAAACAGATGCTTTGGGAGGGTTTCGGCCACGTTGTAGAATAGCTTATCATCTTCAATTAAAAGTCAAATACCCTAGCCAAGTTCAAGAGGGACATCAAAACTCACCTCTTCACGTCTGCATTTTAGAATCTTTGAAAAGACGTTATGTAAATACCACCCTTTTATCTGTTCAATTATGTGAACATTGCTTGCTTAAATGTATAAAAGTGATTGTAAGCCTTTGTTTTTTGTTTTCACAATTATTACCATTACTGTTATCTATATGTTGTAAAGCGTTTTAAAGTAATTTTACAAATTATATAGGGCGCCAATAAATGTTGTATATTATTATTATTATTATTATTATAAAATTTGCTCAACATGAAATAAAGAATTTGAATGTTATTCTGAAGGGTATCCGGAAAGGAGATGCTAATTTCATGTAGTTTGTCACATAAGTACTATTTCTAATTAAATATTTGACAAAATATAACAAAGGATTTCAAACGAGGCCTGACGTATTATGTAACCAGTTACCAGGCAACAATGTTACACGTGATAGTCTATCTTAAAGTTACCGAACAGAGCCACACAGACGTAGTGAAGGGTGGCCGTCACGATGGGGTACTGTAGTGGAGCATTGTTTATACTTATTGTGCTGCTGCAGTTCCGCGGTGAGTTAATTAATTGTTTCTTTGATATTTCCTGATATGATGATCCCTGTTCTGATGTGTCCAAATTGGTCAGTTATGTTATGATCTAATGATCATGTTTACATGTATTTTCCTTACCAAGGTAATATCTGTTCAACGATATAGTGGTCTGTCGTTTCTGTCCATGTTCCATTGTTTAACAATATTGAAGTAAATACTGGTCTTTCACTCAAAAACATGATACAACTTTGATGATCCAGTAAATCACTACATAGCCAGTGTTTCTATAAAGAATACTGCCGTTTAATGAAAATAAATGTATTTGTGACAAGTGCAATTTAATTATTTGAAATCTCTGTTTTTCATCACAAAATGACATCTTCTTATATGAGCAATGATGAGGCCATGCAAAACAAACAAGCCCTTTCAGATTTAAATATAGTCAAGGTTTTCAATTTGCTTTGTGGATGTTTAGTAAAATTATATTGAGATCGTGTTGATGAATTGTATCAATATTTTATAACATGCACTTGCTACTTTTCTATGAAACATGAGTTATACAGGTTATGTACACATGCAGTGAATTTAATAGAAATTAAGGAATGTATTATGTAATTCTTGGTTAATATGTCCTGGAACCAAAGGTTGTTATGACCTCATAAATGTTACAAAAAAAACTTCCCTTTATGTTAACATTTTTATGAAATCAATTTATCTGTGCAAGTACGAATACAAAAAGATATTAGTATTTGTCTCCGAGAAGCAACATGTAAAACAGCTGTATGATGCAGGATAATTCATTTTCATACGACCGTCGAAAGACGTGTTATATTAGCACGCGGGCGGGCTTATGTGTGTACGTGTTCATACGTGTAGCTGTGTTCGGAAAAATATCTGTTCAATAAAATATATTTGTATTCAATAAAACAAAAAATATGTGTGCAATAAAAATATATGTATGATTAACAAATTGGATCTGACAAATTGATGTGTGTTATTAACTCAAAATGATCTTTAAGAATTACCATTAACATGGTAGTCATTATTCAATCAAACATATGCAGACCTAACAAATGTCACTTCTTTTGTCCGAAGTGTTTCCAAATGAAGCGTTTTAGGATCGAGATTGTTCTTTCGAACATATATTGTTGTTATTGCACATATATTTACAATTATTGAATAAAAATATAAAATATTGCACATATATTTACAATTATTGAAAACAAATATAAATTATTGTGACAATAACCCTAATCTACTGTGACAATAACTTTCATCTGCTGTGACAATAACCCTAATCTGCTGTGACAATAACCTACATCTGCTGTGAAAATAACCTACATCTACTATGACAATAACCTATATCTATTGTGACAATAACTTACATCTTATGTAATAATAACCTATATCTGCTGTGACAATAACCTTCCTCTGCTGTGACAATAACCAACATAAACTGTGACAATAACCTACCTCTGCTGTGACAATAACCAACATATACTGTGACAATAACCTACATCTGCTGTGACAATAACCCTAATCTGCTGTGACAATAACCTACATCTGCTGTGAAAATAACCTACATCTACTATGACAATAACCTATATCTATTGTGACAATAACTTACATCTCTTATGTAATAATAACCTACATCTTCTGTGACATTAACCTTCCTCTGCTGTGACAATAACCTACCTCTGCTGTGACAATATCCTACCTCTGCTGTGACAATAACCAACATAAACTGTAACAATAACCTACTTCTGCTGTGACAATAACTTTCATTTGCTGTGACAATAACCTTAATCTTCTTTGACAATAACCTACATCTCCTTTAACAATGAAATAAAGTCTGCCCTGACAATAACCAACATATACTGTGACAATAACCTACATCTCCTGTGACAATAACCTACATCTGCTGTGACAATAGCCTCCATCTGCTGTGACAATAACCTATTTCTGCTGTGACAATAACCTACATCTCCTGTTACAATACCCTACATATACTGTGACAGTAACCTACATCTATTTGACAATAACCTATATCTGCGGTGACAATAACCTCCATCTACTGTGACAATAACCTACATCTCCTGTGATAATAATCTATATCTGCTGTGAAAGAAACCCTCGTTCTTACAAGTTATATGTGTGGTAGCTCGCTGTTAAAGTACCTTACTAAGCTGTAAAGAGCAATGTACTTGAGTAGCACACAGGCAAACTCCCAAAACAATTTCAGCGAATAGTATGAAAGGTCTATAAATAAACCATTCTGAAAAGAGTTCTGAGAATTCTTTTCAACTATTGAATGTTTTTCTGCTTTGAGACATTTCTGCGGGCAATTGCCCATACCCTTTATAACATGTACAATATATATCGAATGACAGTTATACGCGAGCCATTTGCTCTATCTGACATATTTACCTTCCTAGTCTACACAGCTTGTATCTATTTATGTTTATGTCGCGCCGTGTGTATCTTATTTTGTTTTGTTTTTCTCTGTGAGATCAGATGTTTGACTGGAAATGTTCCCAGTTAGATTGGAAGTTATGTACAATTATTTGACTCGAAATGATCACAGTTAGATAGGGCGGTTTGTTATTTCACACATGTTAGCTGTGATATGTTAAGATATACTCGTCGTTAAGCATCACAGAAAACTGGAATTTCATAGGTTGAAATCAGAGCATGATACAGACGTCAAAATGTCATTAGATAGAAGCCTCCTTAGAAAACTTGTTTCATATCTAATGAGGTTGTCCACAGAGAGATAGGAGACAAATGGAACATTAACAAGTTGAACTCGTTTAAAGTATTGCTGTTCGATCATTTGCCGGCATTTCCGTTTGATTACGATCGAATTCTTTACGTCGTTTACAAATATGCAACGAATCAATTCGTCAACTTGACTTGCTAAACTTCTTTTTTATTTTGAAATTTCTTTGTTAATCCTCAGAATATCAAAGATTACCCTGTTTCAGAAATACTGTCCTACACATACCCAAATATCATGACACCCTGTATTTAGAAAGAAAAAAAACCAGATTTGCTGATAATACTATTTACATCAATCAATGCAATGGAAGGTTTGGTTTATACGTTGCTCCCACTTAAAATATTTATGCTTTAAAATTCACAGCGTACACTTTTATGCATGAAGCTAACAGTATTAATATGATAATGATCTGTTCTTTATTTGCGATAGGGGATGGAGTAAAAGAGACATGATTATTTAAGTCTTGCCTCATTTTACGCAGTAATTCTGAGGTAGTACTATAAAGTTGGTATCAACAATATCTGCGCTATTGCAAGAAGGCAAATAGACCAACATACCTGGCACAAAAACACAAATATCCACATACACTCATACACGCATATAATTCACACATCGAGGTGTTAATACAAAGACGAGCATCGTATATTCTCTGGATTTACTATTATTTCAATTTCATGACGTATGATTGTTGATATACGCAGGAAATTTACTTTTCTCAGCACATTTGTGCAGCAACACTATTCCGTCTTTTCGTATCGCAGAGTTATCTGGACTTGTGAGCAGGTATTGATTGTTGCGTCATTTGTAACGTCATCAATTTTTGAGAAAACGACGTAATTTTTCTCACACAAACCAATGACGTAACAATCAATACCTGCTCACAACAGAAGATAACTCTGAAATATGTAAAGACAGAATAAGTGACGTGCGTGCTGTAATGACATGACTTGTAATATGAGAGCAGATATTACTTAGTAACGGAGAATATATTTAACTGCTTGACCGCGTTCCTCGCGGAAGACACAGGCATCGTATACACCTCGGATCTATGTTTTGCACAATCTATATTGAACAATAAATCAAAACCTACGTTAGGTATCTATACGATAATATTCATTCAGGTACTTTATAACGAGTTACTTTGTTAATTGTCACCGGCCGGTAGATTCAATGCTTTTTGGTAGGGTATCCGGAAAGGAGAACCAAATTAGTTTGATACATATGTTTTATTTCAATGTTAATAAAAGACAAATTATAATACCGTAAACATTTTAAATGCAGCCTCACCTGGAGTAAAAGTATGCAAAAATAAGTATGTACAAGATATTTTGCGACCAAAATTGTATGAATCGGGTTTTTTTTATTCTTTCATGCAAGTTGATGTAATACTGTCAGGTTGATGCATTGAGACGATGCATTGCATAGAAGGTTTCATCTTGATGCTATTAAAGCGTTTAATAACATCGAAACCCAACGCACATCGACTGTCGTAATAGTTTCACTATTTTTTTTTAAATATTAATAAATTAAGTCAATATCTATAAATATTATTTTTACCAACGTTGGCACTATATCTACGAAAACTTCGAATATAAAACACAAAATGCATAAGCATTGCCATGGACCTGTCGAAGCATCTTGGATTTGAACAAAAACTTTAACTTTAAACAACTTGCATTTTCTGTATTTTGTACTGTTTGCTAATGATGTAAATGTAATACCGTTCACTTGTTTGTTAAATGTGAGGAAAGCGACTAGAAGCCCTTGGACTGTCCGTAACACTCGTTAAACAAATAATGAATTAAATTAAAATTAACTCTAAAATATATAAAATAAAATAAATATTAAAAACAATCCGCTAAAATATTAATATAATTTCCATTATTACTGTTTTATTGAATCATTGATTTACCAGGTATGTTGAATTATATCTCCTTCAACATCAATTTAACATAAATATTACATATATTTCAACTATAAAAACAACTGTTCATTCAACATGTGACGGCCGTGTTATGTACCGCGTCGCTGTAACCTTGTTGGTATACTGTTTCCATTACCACATGTTAAAGGGACAGTCACTTGTGTGTGTATTTGTGTGTGTTACATGTTAAAGGGACAGTCCCTTGTGTGTGTATTTGTGTGTGTTACATGTTAAAGGGACAGTCACTTGTGTGTGTATGTGTGTGTATAACGTGTATCTGTCACGATACAAGGTGTTACAATTGTAGACGCTGCGGGTGGATTTTTTAGTTCCCGAGACTTGCGCAACCGTCATAGCCACAGCTATCTTGTTTGAGAAGTGGCACGGTTCATGATATACCAACTTTACAGATTAATGAATTTGAAATAAACCAGTACTTCTCTTAATTTGAAATTGATCAATTCAAGGGTTTTTACGTACCTGTCCCTCTGTTTCAACAGTAGTTAGACAATTCTGATTTTCAAGTATGCCCCTAGCATCACCAATGAGTACTGTGATGAAATAACTATATGACACAGTGTCATTCATTTTGGCACACTGTTTCTGTTATCAAATTTATAAAATGAAGCCATCTTTGTGTGTGTTTCGTGTACCTTCCATTGCAGGCCCTAGCAACAGCATTACAATCAAATAAACACAATATAGTTTCATTTTCAAAATCTAATTTATAGAATATTACTATTTAAAGACAACCTTTTGCTACAATTAACATAAATGCAGCACATTTTGAATGGCCATTTAAAGTAGCATACGAACAATACCCTTAGCGCGGCCTCAAGGAGGGTGGTTTAGAAACAATGTCAGCACATGTACTACGTTATGCGGGCCGACATTGTATCTATACACAATTGCTGGAGTCACATATGTCATGCAGAAATCAATGTCAATTCGTCAATGGGTCGAAGCATACAGAATAAGTAGTCCCTGTAGTATATTTAGACAATAAGATTCAGGAATGTTTTAATAAATTAATTATGATTCACGACAATTTGTTGATTTACTGATTACTATTATCTACTCCATGTAATGATACAAGAGAATATCGAAGTCAAAGAAAACAAAGGAAAGATTTACACGGGGATCATTGAAAAAGTATGACGGGAAAAGGACCGGGCCTGTCTTCGTATAATCTTTATCCACTTAAGCAATAATTATGTGTTCAAACCAACTTTTAAAATTGCGTTAATCACAAACAAATTTAACTGAAAAAGAACAAGGTAAATTGAAAATATAATTTGGCTTCAAGCCTCTCTAAAGTTCACCAAATAATTTTAAAAATGTGAATTTTATGAACAATTCATCTGTGAATCTGGGTTTGAGCATGAAGATAATTTATGAATACGGACCAGGTGATCCGGAAGAGTAAACGACAAAAAGATACGTGCTTTAAGAAAGAACCTGGTTGGGTAAAATAAAACTATAATAAAACAAACGAGCATAACCGAAACGGGACACAAATACTTCGAATAATTTCCAATAAGATCAAGAATGCAAACACACACCTTCCTAAATGTCTTCATGAACCAACATCTCCCGAAACCCTGTTATGAAAGTTTGACCGTCAGCATGCGACATCTATCATATGAATTTTACACAAGCTAAAGAATATCGAATCAATTTAAAAGTGAAAACACTTTCATTAGAGTATTCAGATGAAAAAGGAAAAAAAAGAGTGGTGGGTTGGGTGTGGGTGTGGGGGTGTGTGGAGAAGGTTGAACAAAACGGTAATTCGATATGAATTTTGGTACAAAGTAGAGAATTTTGTTTTGATACAAATTAATATCATGTAATAATGTGTCAAGTTTTAAATAAAAACGAACGTTCAATAAACAGGCGAAAAAAGATATGGAATTTATAAGGTAAAAGATTATTGATATGCTATTTGACTACAGTTTTATTGTACATTGTGTAGCTTGTCAATATCTTGGATGCTCAGAAAGCCTATGCTTAAAAAGATTATTCAAAACTTGTTAAGTAAAGATTACATGATCAACTTATGATTTTATACAAAACGTTACATGTACAAGAGGACATATTAATTAGAGATTTTAAAAGGTATTTAACGTTAAAACTATGTTATTAAACTACAGCAAAAAAAAACCCCGATATATCAACAGTACAATGTTTTATCTAAATTTTCGATGAATATACTATACATGTAATATATTATTGTGAAAATGCACAGGCTATACAATTGTATTTTACAAATTTCTACATCACTTTTCCCATCCTAATCAAAATGAAAGGGTTATGTTCTTTTTGCAGTGTTATCAGTTTTGTCAAATTCATTAAATAAACTTGCAAAACTGCATATTTTGAATTACGTCACTAATCGCTTCTTCAATTAATTCCTGTCCACCATGCACAATTAATGTTATGCATAACGACCTCATATAACATACTTTGTTAAACGGATAGTGCTAGAAACCTATCTTGAATCTTTAATTCAGCAATTTATGAATTACATTTAATGACTCTTTGGCAGTGTAGGAACAAATTAAGCATCCACGATCGTAAATTTAACGATATGGTTATAAAAATGTTTAAGTCTATGCGTGGCGATTAAATATATTGCAGTCTCATAAACCTATGATTTTATAATTTGGCGCCTTTTGTATACGGGTTTGTTTCATCCTGTATTATAAGTTGTCCAACAGATCTATCATCTGTTACCTGATTCCCTGAACAATCCTCATAGTTTGTGTGTGTACTCTAAATGTTTTTTTGTAGCTGTCGCTGTTTCCGCTTCCCGTTGTCGCGCAATAATGAACAGCCTATGTTCTCCGATACTCTTTGGAGTTATCCCATCTTAGCAATATTCAGAGCCGAGAGTACCTCAAGAAGATATAGTTTAATACTATATGTGTTAGGTTTGATAGCTTTAATAATTTTTGATAGCTAAAACTACTGTATTTGGTATAGCGTAAGCGTTTGTCTTTAACAAATTGACTTTCGCCTGCATTATGGAAAAGGATTTTGAAACATGCTTACCTTACTTATATTTATATTTTCCAAGTTCCGCAATTGTAGATTCTTTTCCTCAAGACTTGTAGGTGTTTTATCTACTTGTATGTTTCTGTGACCTCCTGATACTAGATGAAACATGAGATCATTGAAAGTCAACCGCACTTTATCTCTTTATCGGAACTTTCGATTCAATAGAAAATGTATTAGTGAAAAAATGCCATGGTAACAGTTTATTTCAGTTTTGAAATAAATGAAAGACGACCGTACTACGTCATATACCATCGGAGAGCTAACAATGGACAGATAGCTAATACAAAGTCACAGGATTCAACAACTTATTGATACTTACAGAACGAAATATCTCGTTGGTTGTACTTTGTACTGGACCTGACATAGAAATACTTACATGTGGGCCCACCTGTTAAAATCAGTTTCCAAGGCTGAGATTTAAGATTTTACGCTCGATATCACAAATACTTTAATATAAATGAAAAACGTTACATTATTTGTAAATAATCTTCCCTAATATATCATAAACCTTTATTTGTGACAGAAAACATATCTTCAGGTAGCATCTGCTACGAACGTCAGTATGGCTACTCGTCCTCCTTGGGTGGTTTCGTCTACTACTACACTTACTATGGCTACTGTTCCGCCGGTTGCTGTGGTTACACTACCTCCCGAAAATGCTGTACCTCGTCCACCTACACCACATACTCCGGTTTAGGGTAAGCATTTTTATATAGAAAAATACGACGTTTAGGCGACGCTTCCTTAATCAAACAACTTAAAGACAACACTCTCTTCCGTAAGACGACCATAAAAGGGAAGTAGGATGATTGTGCTATTTATAAGCATAACTTATAGACAAATTTAAGAATTTCATCATTCAGAAGGTATATCTAAATCCCTTTCCAGGCATTTTTTCAAATAGTGTCACAATAGTTTTGTGTACGTCAGTGAAAGCAGGAGAGTATTCCGTTACCATGCTTTCCGTCATCGTTTAGACTGTTTCATTAATCGAGTGATCGCAACCAGCCCAAAAGTGAATCTCTCATTGAAGAAAGCGATAATGTCGAAAGCGCTTTTTCTGTTGACAGGACTGCTGTAGTCGTTGGATCTACTATCGGAAGTGTGGTCTTCTTTGTAGTGATGGTTATTGGGATATGCTGTTGCTGCAAGCATATAAACAAAAACAAAGTTGGCCGTGTCATGGTAGTCCCCGCACCAACTGGGCCACAGGGTGTTGCTATAGGTATGTGATGTACTGTATTTAAATACATTTACATGTCCACTACAAGTTTCTCCATAAGCATTACCATAAGAAATTAGGTCAGCCTGGATGAACATTTTGGTGACGTTAGGCTGTAACGGGACTCTCGTTTGCAATGACGACACAGATACTAAAATACCGAAAATATAAGTGAATATCATTGTTAAAGTCAAGAATGACACACAATTTAGAATGTAACTATAAGGATTGAACTGAGGTTTTCAATGTACATGCCGATATTTATGCAAACTAGTTACATACCTATAACAATGAAACCAGCCATCACCATACATGTAACTGGTAACATACATATTACAATGAAGCCCGCCATCACCATACATGCAACTAGTTACATATGTATTACAATGAAGCCCGCCATCACCATACATGTAACTGGTAACATACATATTACAATGAAGGCCGCCATCACCATACATGCAACTAGGTACATATATATAACAATGAAGCCAGCCATCTCCATACATGCAACTAGTTACATATATATTACAATGAAGGCCGCCATCACCATGCATGTAACTGGTAACATAAATATTACAATGAAGCCAAACCTCACCATACATGTAACTGGTAACATACATATTACAATGAAGCCCGCCATCACCATACATGTAACTAGTTATATACATATAACAATGAAGCCCGCCATCACATACATGTAACTAGTTATAAACATATCACAATGAAGGCCGCCATCACCATGAAGCCTTTATAGAGTATGCATGTAATCGATTTGCGTTCATACCAGCATGAAAATGAAAAGAAATGCCGATCATTATATAAATTTTCGTTTCCATGTATTTTATTATTAGTGATAATACAAAACATTATTGTGTTCCGAAAAAACGAAAAAAAACATTTTTCTGATCATAAACATCCTTATTCGTCTGCCTCCCAAATCAACGAAATAGTATAGACTCATCGGAACACCTCGCGAAAAGACAATTCAACGGCAATCACTATGTATGCATATTCCATTTTGAACACTTTTGCTAAGTGCATGACGATGTTCACTAAAAAATGGTAGATATTTTAGAGTTAAAGAAAAAGATATCTCATTGTAATTATAAGTGACAGTTGCTGTTGTGTAATGATATTTTATTTATATGCAGTGAGCAATAGTATGAACATCCCCATGCAACAGCAGATGCCAGAACAGACGTATGGCTACTTACCGCAGCAGGGTCACCAGGCGCCCCAGGCCTTAACTCAACAGGCCAACCCACCACAGGCCTACCCTCCTCCAGACTATCACTCGACTGCACCAATAGTACAACCAGGGAATTCATCGGAACCTTTTGCACCATCGAGCAACATCCCATCTGATTGGAACAGCGCCGCACCAGCAACAACCAAAGAACAGCACTAAAGTACTGGTCATGTGCATTCGTTACCGCTCTGATGAGTGAACTTGGAATGTCCCCGGACTATATGTTATATCTTCAAGTCTCAATATTTAAGCAAATCATTCAGATTTCGTGATATATCAACTTTTAGGTTATTAAGAAGGATACATATTTCTAACGCTTTATCATAGAAGTAGGCTCTAGATATGTGTGTGTTTGTGTGTGTTCTTTCGCTGCTTCAAATCATCAGGAACGAGTCAATCAACTATATGCTTTAAAGAAAGGAATATGAACGTATTAAGGGTTAATATAATGTGCAGTAATGTTCTGGATATTTTCAATAGTGATAATATAAAGCATGATACGTCAATAAATAAATAACCGTAAATATTTCATGAAATCCGGCCCATAAAAACATAGGAGTAAATGTGACACGGGTTATATATATTTCAGGCTCACAAATACATTATAGTAAATATTTTAAGAGTTAAATATTTCAGGTTCACAAATACATTACAGTAAATATTTCAAGAGTTAAATATTTCAGGTTCACAAATATAGATACAGTTGATGAAGTATTCTGTTGATATTTATTTGTCACAGTATGAAGTAAATATAGATTTTTCTCAGTATCCAGTCCATATAACGCAATTGTACCTAAAAGGGGACATTTTAAATAAAATATTAAGGAACTTTATACCCTTATATCAATTCTCATTTTTCACAGAAATTTATCATGTAACTGCACTCTGAAAGAGACATTTTGGTGTTTTTGCCAATATTGGAGGATACACGATCAATATTAGAAGAAAATTACCAACAATTCAATAATTTTGGATTCAAAAACAATTCCGGTCAAATCTGTTCTCGAATTTAGCATTAATTTTGATAAGGATAAAATATGTTTTTAACTGATATGAAAGTAAAAAGCGTCATATGGCACAAAAAAATCCGAAAGTAATATGTTCGTATTCATTGATAAAATAAAACTGTCCGTGTAACCATAATCAGCAGTCTATGACTATGTACAGTTTAATTGAGATAAAAGTAACATTAAGTGAAAATTACAAACATAAACATACGTTAGATGTATTGTACGTCAATTTCTGGGGCGGCTTTACAACAAATGTACCCTTTTGAGTAAACTGACGTTTGATTTTAACAGTATCCAATGTATGTAGCTTTGATACATTTCTGGAGTTTGTGTGTTTGTTACAGTACCATAACAATATAGATTTGATACGTAGTCTTAAATTTGTAGATGAGTTACAGTATCCATTGTGTATTGTTTTTCTTTTGTCCTCCTAAAAATATATCCATTTTTTTTTTTTTGTTAGTGATCAATCAGTAGCTTTCAAATTTTACACAATTTGCCTGAGGTAACTATTTCAAAATTAAAATTAAAATTGCCCTTGTTAAATTGACTTTTCCTTTTTTCGTTTTGTCGGTTATTTATTTATTTTCCGACGTCGCTGCCATTATGTACGCAATGCGCTATAATAAACAAAAATCTACCAGAATCTTGCATTTGTTTCTAAGAACATTATTTTAACTTGTTAAATTGGATTGGGAATCGTTAATGCTGTATCAAATTAGTAATGTTGTAGTTATTTTATTGCGGTACATTCAGCCTAGGATTACATACACATCAGTGTCTCAGCTGACAGCTTGATCAACATAACTCATTAAACTGTTGGGTAAAACTAACACAATCAGAAACAGAACAAAACAAAATGTACCCAATGAGTTATACATGCTAAATTAATTCGTTAATTATGATATTTTAAATTATTGAGGTTTTCGTGAACTATATGTCTTGCAGATCTAACACAACTAAATTACCGTAAACATAAGTGATCAGTGGTAGAACAAATTTGATATTTAGACTCATTGTTTATCCCATGTGCCGTTTTTTTCTATAATTGAACCTATTAAGTATACAACATTAAGGATGCGAGGATTTGCATCCATTCATATTATTCGATATGAACAGTCCGATTATGCTAATAATGTAATGTGCTAAACATAAACTGCATCGGTCCGGATGATAAGTCAATGCAATTAACATATAGATAATTTGATCCCTATAATGTAATGCAAGGGATATATTTAACGCTATTAGATTTATAATGCAAGTGTTTAACTTGGATACTATAGGCTCAATGTAATGCACGTGTATTTAATTGAACAATATTAATCTTTAATTCAATAATAAGAAAATGTATGAAATCGGCATAGATGGCATATTTGCTGAATCCTTGTACTTTTAAGTCGTTATGACTGGCGAATACGAGGAAAATCAAAACCTTTAATGGGACAATCCTAATGTTTTCTGTACCCTTAAAAAGGATGTTATAAAGATTTATATATATTAACACTTTTAATTGAAATATTGCCTTGCATAACTGATTTCCTGTTTATATTATAGTCAACTAACATACGTTGGTGCATCGTTAAAATGTACACTATTTGGATTAATTATCCATACCTAATTCCGTCCCCAAATAGTTAAATTTAATTTTTAATTCGTTTATAATTATGTAATTTATTTTCTAGAATAAATCCTCTTTAAACGCCCGCAATTTTTTTTATCTTATCGTTAACATTTTTATGAAATTTAAACTATAAAGAAAATTAAAAGATGTATGCAGTGCGAAAAGGTTTCATGTTCTTTAATTATCTATAAACATGTATCTCTGTGATAGTTTTACTCCGTTTGCTGTGATATTATAAATGCAACAAAACATGTTCTATTATTTTTTTTAAGTTAAAGTAGTATCATAATGTGACATTTTGTATCTTTTTGTGCTTATTAATGATATATTTCTGTGGAAGCAAAAGTATTATTCAATGCACTGGCTGTATTGTCGTCATTAGCTTTTATTCACATGCTAATATAGAAATTCCATCAGTAATTACCAAATTGAAAACTATTTCTTTTTCTTTTTTTAACAGATGCTTGTATATATACTGTTTGTTTAACCTTATTATTAAACTTTGAATTAAAGCATTGTCAAAAAGTATTTTTATTTGGTTCATTATTTTAAAGATTTGCAAAGGAAGTGGTTTTTCACTGTAATAAGTTATGTAAAAATAAGACATTTTTTTCTCTGGAACTAAATTTCGTGGAAATATACCGACCATGTATTAGCCATGAGCTGTGTATGAACAAAGAACTGTGTATTATGTAGATATAAGCAGGAATTGAGGGAGATTGTATTTTGTTTAATGGTGATGAAAAAGCCTTCATATTCTTAAGAATTTAATATAACATATCAGATATTATATAAAGCATATAGCATATATGCTTAAATGCTTATTGACACACCAAGGTAATTCATTGTTACAAACAAAATCTTAAAATGAAGCTACTGACGTCATTCTACAAATGTATTTAAACCACGAAAAGATAGACAAAAGAGTAGGAATTCATCATCTTTTATATATATATATATGGTTAATTGGTTTCACAGATCTACAGTAGCTAAATGCTAACTCTAACAATACAAGTATCTGTTGAGTCAGTAGAATATGAAAGGTATCAATTCGGTTAAGACGGAGTCAAGCATACGGTTTCCCATCATGTCATGATTCAAAACTGATGCTCCTATTAACCACTAGAAAAACGAAGAAAGAAATCACCTATTTAAAACTTTCATTTGTTTGAAGATGCAGAAAGGCGAACAAAGTAAACAATTTACAACTGATATTTCGGTGTCTCCATTCCTTCAACATGTCTTCACTTGTCTTAGATACTCGGTGACCTCTTCATTTTTAATATGTGACAGGAAACACCGTGACGAGTGCTATATATAATGTATAAAACTATTCCGGAGTACCTGATGTCGGTGTTTGTGGGAGGGGGTTCTTGATGTCTTTCCTTTTACTTTGACGTCTTCTCGGTTCCTTTTGTTATACTATCATCTTTGAATTCTTTGATTTTGTTTAAATAAATTAAGTTTTGTTGGAGACAAAGGACTAGGGGGCGTTAAGGGTCATTTTCGGCCACATCGGGGCTTTAGAATTAGTTGTTATATTCGTAATCTGGAATAATTGAAGTACGCAAATATGAAATTACAAGTTCATTTGACAGCTGGTTTGGGAGATATGGCATTTCAAAGAGAGACAGAACCCCTCATTTTCATAATAAAATGCGTGGATATCGTCTGTTGTGCGCTATTTGGTTGCATGATTAACTGTCAAAAAACACCATATGTTTGCTATTTCTGCATACCAACGAAATAATGTTGCTATGGTAGAGCATGTACGCATGCGTATTGGAAAACAATTGCATCAAGCCCCAATTAACTAATCTGATGTTTATAACAGAAATTCGTTAGTAAATTTAAGTTGAAATTCTTACTTTATATGAGGCGACAATATGACCGATAACGCCCAAAGTCCTTTCCCAACAATACTTTTCTATGATAAAAGTAGGGAAAAAACACATTCCCATTTTAAGCAAGGTTAACAACCTAACTTAATTGAAACATAATATAAGGTTTCAAAACATGCACGTACAATGTATCACTGTACAGATTCCCTAAAACATAAACATTCATACATCAACGACAATTAAAAACAAGAAGATACTATGAATTTTGATATCACTTGATTATTAACATCACTTTATTTTTCGCATAGCAAAGCTGTTTTTCTAGTACATGTATACATATAAATATTAGCATACAACTTACAAATTCCATTATCTATATCAGGCCACGTCGTGTTATGAATGAGTAACTACAATGTATCTACTTTATGCAAACAATATCTACCTTTACATTATAGTTAGTCACACTGAAATGATAACATGATTAGAACTATAACTGTGGGGATGACTGATTATAATCTGTATGCTTCTGTTCCATTCAACTTAAACCTGTCATACAGTATATATGTAGGTCCATATTAAGGAGTTAAACCCAGTACAAACTTAAGTCCAAAAGAAGTGAACTAATATATATATATCATTTCTGTGTTTGATTTTTCTTTCAAAAGGACCCCACACTAACAGCCTTGTGTAATACTCCTTATTAGTTATAACTGTCATGGTTTTATGACGTGTGAAAGGTACATTATATATCACGTATTTAGATGACACCCAAAACATTCTAATAAATAATAATTAGTACATACCGATTGGACCGGATTAAAATTCCGACACGTCAAAAGTGATTTTGTTAAGATAACATGCTTCCTTTTTTTACATATGTTAATTGTAATCAATCATCTTTGGTTGATATACTAGTAGAGCTCAGCATACATACACAACAATATACAGTGGACTGGGAATGATGAAACAGCTACGAGAGAAATATAATGCTGTACGATAAGCAACCCAAGGGAGATTGAAATGAACAAATATATATCAAGAGCACTGGCTCTTTCCTAGACTTCTTCGTTCTTTCAATGTTGAATACTGTCAATTCACTATACAAATGGTAAATATATGTATACAGATTTTCACATGTATACTGTTATACATGTTATTATGATCTGAAAAAGTGGGAAAAACAATAAAAAATAATAAAAAAGATGAACAATAGACTGTGTTTGGTACTGCTAATGATTATATTTTACTAAGCGAATATCATCAACGCTAAACGAGCTGTGATTGTTTTCTTTCTTTTTTTAATCTCAGAAACAGGGTGACACGTTTTAATAACTCGAAAAGATGAATTGACATACTTTCTTTTTATAGATAGTGGCTGATTGGTTGACACATCGTCGTTATGAGTGTTTTAATATAAAAAGAAATAATACTCGGCTTGCATCACAAATACAATAACTATTTCATATGTATGGTATGATTTACGCTTCTTTTCAAGGTAGGTGTAATATGCAAAATGCTGAAAATATAACAAACACCACAATATCTAATATTTATGGATATATATCATCACAATATTTCATTACATTTCATTAGCCGTCTGGATTCAATATTTCATGGACGCTGATAAACCTTTACCAAAAGAAATAAACGTTAATGGAGAATCAGTAATTGCTCAAAGGATGTTTAAAAGCCTGAACGAAAAGATTAACGAAAGAACAACAATGACTAATTTACTGAAAGAAATAAAAGAAATAAAAAATGAATTGAACTTCACACGGCGTGAATTTGATTGCATTTGAACTCGTTCGTACTTTTGCGGTTTTGCAATAGACGTAATTGTTTGACCAATTTTTACTTGTAATGTATGCATTGTAATTGAGCTGTAACTGTAATCCGAACATTTCGATTTGTGAAATGAATAATATTGATTGATGAAACAAGAATTCGAATGTTATCAAAATATATTTATGTATACATCTGAACGTTCCATAAAAAACTGAGAAAAGACAAAAAGTACTAGATTTGAATTTAGGTATATCTAATACATATTAATCTTATCTGAAAAAAAAAAGTTCCCACATTTGTTGGTGTTCAAATAGCATTTGTCAAAATAATAATTGAAATACTAGAAATGGTCCAATAGTTGTGTATAGTTAACTTAGGGATAGATTAACCCATAACTTGTAAAAACATGCTTGCGCTGCCTTTTCCTCAGACATCCGAGCGAAATTGACGAAAAAGAAATATAAAAACTCCAATTACATTTTAGTATATTAAATAGCTTGGTTTCTAATCTGGATCATTTTGAAAACGTTCAATAAATACACATTTTCATTAGAGTTTTGATATGGACATAACTAGAAAAATCAGTAATTTCTGACCCCTATAATTTTCAAAATGTACCTATGCACAGCAAAATGTGGGTATGTCTTGTCTTGTGAAGTAAAATTATTTCTAGTTTTCAAATTAATACATTAAGCAAAAAACACTCTATGTTTAGAAATGAAACCTTAAGAAATTCGAACCAAACTTACAATAAAATGGAGATTTCCATTAGTATTTTATTTTGAAATAAAAAATAAAACAATCAGATTAAACGAAAAATTCTAAATTTGAAAAATTCAAATTGGAGCATAATTGTGTATACCTCTTATATAGGGCTCTAATATTCTTTAGTGTGTGTTATAAAATGAAAACGATGTTTAACGTCAGTATTCATGACACTTGAATTTTCGAAGTTATCTTTTTAGACTTAAACAACAAACCAATGATAGTGATAATAAGGTCAATTTTAGCTATTTATCCGATATTACATAGGTGGCATGCATGGATATATGGCCAACATTGCTATAAATGTTAGAGCTTTCATGGGGTTTGCCTTTGGCCCGATTCCAATTGTATGCTATGCAATAAAACATTTCCATGAAACGAAATGTTAGGTATGTCAATAGACTAAAATTGCATTTCAAACCATTCTGACTACAACTGAAAAAACTAAGCACACCTAATGGTATGTTGTATTGTTTGAAATGCATAACCCACATTCACCGGGAACATATTTGATTATGCAGATCGCGTTCACCTTACCGTGATATGCAAAGCTTATTTATATTTGTCTTGGTATCTCCAGATATGTTACAATATCCCCATAAAAATGTCACATTGACTCTTTTTTAATTAGAGGATATCGATTATAATTTGACTAAGATTGAATATTAACGTAAAACACAACAGAAATACTTGTAAGATGTCGGTAATTGAGAACTGTCTGGCAAGATGAAGTAGGCGAGATAAGTTGTATTTACACATCAAGTGGACGTAACTCTGTTGTTTCTGTTGAAAATATCTCTCCCGCTTCAATTCATCTTTGTAAATACTCTTGTACAAACCACATCACCGACAGTCATCGTCTGAAAAAACCCAACATAAAATCAATTAAAATCAGAATAGACCTTGGACAGCCGTTTGTTGTGTTACATATATACATGCATACATACAAACATACATAACATTACCCTATTTTAGGCCTACATATATAGAGGAACTATTTGTGTTGGATATATTCATTTGTTTGCAACGTTTATTTATTTGTTTCATGTATTGAACTTTAACATTTTAAAACGTTTTGTATATGACCAGAACTACATAGTTGTGTTAAAGTTATTTATTGTAAGTATGACTGCATTATTAATTCATAATATTGTGTACACTGTGTATGGGAGAGACTGCACATGATTGAGTATGTTGTAAAATTACCCCTAATGAGTATCCAAACCAGCGTTTGGTAAAACGAAGATTGTGAATAAAAGTAAATGAAGTAAATGTTCAATCAAATGGCATTTTAACCATTTTTCAGAATTCAAACTAAACCATGGCTGAATCTTATGAGAAAGCGTTACTGACATACTCATGACTATTTCCTCTTAGAGCTTATGACGATCTGTCTTAATACATTAGATCCTAGCCTATTTTACTAGCGAACATAATATTTGTTGAGCATGGCGAATACATTCAAATTTGTAACTAAGTTGCTGTATTAATAATTACAACCTTTTGATGTATTAATGCTAATTTAAAGATTAATAATTTCAATATGACATTTTTTCTGATGTATTTTTTTGCTGTTTCGGAGAAGGAAAAATAACATAAACAGCAATTTATTGCAAAAAAAAAAGGCTTCTTTCGCGACGGATCATTATCGCTATCATTGTCTTTTTATGTCCAATCAGTACAGCAAAATGGCAAAAGATATAGTGTCGTTACGGGTTTTTTTTCTTTTCATTTTTAATTAACCTGTATTATTTCGTCATTGATTCTCTCCCTTTGGAATCTTTGAGGCTTTCCTTTCCCCTCCACAGCGGGCTTGGCTTCCGTTATTAGTTTTTTGTCTTCCCATCTTGAAAAACACTGGAATAAGAAACAATGAATTAAGAATATGACCTAACATCATTGGAAATATAAAAAAAGTAGTATCGGATAAAATGAGAAGAATGCATGAACGACAGTTAAGTCAACCTCATTTTAAGGAATAAAATGGGGAAATTATTTGAAAGCATTACCAATAACACATTGCGGTTATTATACACAAATTGTATAGTTATTTGCATTTCAGATTGACTCTAAAACAGGAAAACAGGAATACATTCAAGAACAACTGGACTACTTAACATAACATTCGTTTTTACGAGAAAACATTCGGAAATGTTTGGCTGAAATACCTAATGGGATTAAAATCGAATTTAATATATATCTAAAGTACGTTTCTGGTTGAACACATTTACTTAACACGTTATGAAGTGCTAGTCATAGCTGTAGTGGAAAATGAGAACATTAAAACATGACTCGCTATAACAAGAAACTACGGATAACGAGGAATATATATAATCTATGACAATTATATATAATATATGACACAGTATAATCTATGACAATCATATATAATCTATGACACACTATATATAATCTATGACACAGTATATATAATCTATGACACAGTATATATAATTTATGACACAGAATATATAATGAATGGCACAGTATATATAATATATGTCACAGTATATATAATATATGACACAGTATATATAATCTATAACACAGTATATATAATCGATGCAACATTTAACAGGCACATAACAAGCACAGGTATTTATAATAATTATCATAATGTATTATTTACTGATAATGGTCCACTTACGATCATATCAATTCCCTCGAAGCTTTGTGTGTATTCTTCGTTTAATTTAAACTCCATGACTTGATTGAAAAAACTGACTTTTGATATAAGATTTACAATATTTTCTTCTACTGTGAATTCAATAACAGGTTTAGCCACAGAAGCCATCTTCCGGAACAATATATTCAACCCTGGAAAAGACAACGTGAGAAATTAGGGAAAATTCACATTAAACATTAATACAATCATAGCATGCATTGAAAATATAAACCAACGTGTTTAACATAAGTTGAATAATAGTCAGCTAAAGGAAGTTTTTAAACAGATAATATTTCCTTTTCAAATGTTATAAAATAAAAAAAAATCTCTTATGATCATGTTTTATTAGTTACAACTCGTTATATTTAACTACAAATGTACTTAACTATACGCTTAACAACACTTGAACTTTGCAAAGACCGCTCCGCCAAAAACGAGGATATATTAAAGAGGAAGTCACTCCAATCAACACATATGATATTATATTGTATATACCTAACAGCGATATTATATTGTATATACCTAACATCGATATTATATTATATATATTTAACATAGATATTATATTGTATATACCTAACATTGATATTATATTGTATATATTTAACATAGATATTATATTGTATATACCTAACATCGATATTATATTGTATATACCTAACATCGATATTATATTGTATATATTTAACATAGATATTATATTGTATATTCCAAACATCGATATTATATTGTATATACCTAACATTGATATTATATTGTATATACCAAACATTGATATTATATTGTATATATTTAACATTGATATTATATTGTATATATTTAACATTGATATTGTATTGTATATACCTAACATTGATATTTTATGGCATATACCTAACATTGATATTATATTGTATATATTTAACATAGATATTATATACTAAATACTTAAACATAGATATTATATACTTAATACTTAAACATAGATATTATATACTAAATACTTAAACATAAATATTATATACTAAATACTTAAACATAGATATTATACACTAAATACTTAAACATAGATAGTATATACTAAATACTTAAACATTGATGTTTTATTGTATATATACCTAAACATTGATATTAAACTGTATATTCGGTCATGTTGGGGGGTTTGGGGGGATACATGTATCAATTACTTTTTCAACCTTACAATACATAAACTTCTTTCTAAAGCTACGTTAATTGATACCAAGTTCGAATATTCCGTTGTATACCGTTTAAACAAACCTTCCAACTAAAATGTTATTATAGCATATCTCGAAATATACGCGTTTCCAATTGAACCAACTCTGGTGTTTCTGTTATGCGGTATGTGATGTGATGTTATTTTCAAACTTTGATAGAAATTCCCAAATGACTTTAGATTTACGTGTGTTGCCTCACGGAATTGGTAACCATAGAAACAATTATACAACCAACTTAAAAAAACTATCGAGAAAGATGAAATGGAGTTGTCTCTCCTATTTTTAAAAGGAATATAAAAAGTCAATGCTGTGTATATCATGGAATATACTTATACGTAACTGAGTTTCCATACCATCATAAATGCTAAGAATGAGCATAGCAATCCTTAATACATTACAGTAACTTAAATGTATATGAAATTAGACGCTCGTCGCTGTGGGAGTCCTATTCATGATACATTAAATAAATGAGTTCGGAAATGATCATACATGACTTCTCAGTCATGCATACGAACACTGGTATCATTTGACTTATTTATTTGATACATTGAAGACGCATTTCACAGAAGTGCCAACTATTTGTCCAATGAAATGAAAGAAATCAATCACTTGCTGCTGAGAGAACATTTCATTAGCTAATTCAACCTTGACAGCATGACGATGCATCTTTAGTCCCAAGTCGGCATATAGAAACGAACTCTTATCATAAAACATGGAAAATAATCACATACTTTTATAAAAAAAAAAAAAAAAATACCTAAGTCTCAACATGATTTATGCAAGACGAATAAAATATACTTTCTATATTTTCTAAAATTTTTCACGTATTTAATGTTTTTATAACAAATTTTAAATAATTAGCAATGCTTCAAGCTAACTATACTTTCAATAAGTTGCTCTGAATACATTGAAACAAGTGTGGATGGTCATTCTACGAAATAATCACAGCTTTCTTTAGATATATTATAGTTACTATGATTAAACGTCAGTGCTTCTAATAAAGAATTCCAAACTGTCACAGAGAATCGATAGCCTCGCATGAATGTAGGGATCATAGCTTATTTATCACACTGTTAATCACATACACACTAATCACTGTTTGCCCGTGTGTATCGGGTTATCTTAATGATGATGGATGTGTTCACAGAAAGAGGAAAATCCTGATATATGCAATTTCTAAAAAGAAAATACTGTAAACTTCAAATTTTAATCTTGTTAAATGAGAAGGATTCACATAAAATTTCGGTCCGGGTTTTTTTTGTTTTCTTCGAAGATATCTCCCTGTTGATTCGGGGGTTTGTGATCATCACATAGAGAGAATGATCATATAATGCGACAAAGATGTGCGCCCTGCAGAACAGAGATGTTCACTCATTAATAAGGGGATATGGAAGGGACCAAACAGATCCCTTGTTCTAATGTAGCCTTAAGGATAGCTGTTCATTATTATATTAATTATTTGTTCTTATTCTTTTAATTCATTTTGTATTCGTTAATAAAGCAAACAGTACCAAACGTATAATCTAACTGTCTGTTACAAAATAAAATATTTCTAGATGAAAAAACTGAACTCGACCTATACTGTTTCTAATAAAGAAATACAGCCATACGTGCACACAACACGGCCCGCAAATAAATGGCAGAATTCCCAATCCGACTTGACGTAATTAGTTTATCTAACGCAGCACTGACAAAACACCTTGTTTGTGTAGCACTTAACTATATTGTACCATGGACGTCATAATATATCAACGTTGTTGAAAGGGAACAAACCAGTATTCATCACTTCTTAAACCGAGGCACGCGCGCTCCATCTAACACCACGTGCAAACAGTTACTCACGCGAGATTTCAAGCTGTGATAAAAGGCAGACATGCATGCTGTTTAAATTACCAACACATTTTCGCCAATCAACCAACCAATATTTCACGTGTGGCGGAGTAATATGTTATGCTCGGAAGGATAAGAATACTGTTATATGCTGAAGCCGGGAACTAATTTTAGACAAAAGTATGACGGAAAAGTGCAAAGGACCTGCGTGTAAAATACCAACATGATTATATCTCAGGCAGATTTTGTAATGGTTGGCATATCGTTCTTGTTTTTAATCGTAGGTTTTATGAATAGTAAATTGTTGTAAGCGGTGTATCTCTATTGGTGTTGGGTGTTGTATTATAGTTAACAGGACTGTTATGCACATGATTTTGTTTTATATGAGAACTGTTTTGACACAGCATTATCGTGAAGATTTATATTCAATTTAAAATGTAATTTAAAACTCCTGAATTAAAGTATTTAACAAATTTCCTACAAGTTGGAAACAAGATATGAAATAACATGTTTTAATTTGGATGATGAGGATTTCATGATCAGTCGGATAGAGAGAACCAATAACAATAATGAGAGGAAAGAAATATGGAGTAACAAACAGAAGAGGAGGGGAGGTATCGGTATGAGGAGAGGAAGTGAAAAAGAGGGAAAATATACGGTGTAATTATGAAGGAGTGATAGATGAAAGGGAGATAAAGAAGAGGTACATTATAACGAGAGGATTAAAAGGGACGTAAGAGAAAAATGAGAGGAAAATTAGGGGGTAAAAACAGGAAGGAAAAGGAATATATAGAAACAGAAGGAGAAAATGATTAAAGTAGATATGGGAATGAAGGAAAATGGGGGCGAATCTCCTATGTTAGTTGCTAGAAGTAGTGCTTATCGAAGAAAGATACGATGATGATGAGAGGGAGCGCTTTGATTTTAGTAATGAGGTGTAGGAAGGCGGAGCAGCAGAAACAATAAAGAACATATTGACAAGAGCTTGACAGAAAGAGGGCATCAAAGAGACATGAGAGATAGATATCGTGGGCTGGCTAGGAGGAGAGCTAGGAGTAGGGAGGACTGAGGATTCGGAAATGAGAGATAGATATCGTGGGTTGGCTAGGAGGAGAGCTAGGAGTAGGGAGGAGTGAGGATTGGGAAATGAGAGATAGATATCGTGGGCTGGCTAGGAGGAGAGCTAGGAGTAGGGAGGACTGAGGATTCGGAAATGATCGACTGTAACAGAGAGTGATCGAGAACAAAAATAAGGATAAAAGGGAACAACAGGAAGAGTAGACGAAGGAGCGGGGAATGAGGAACTTCTTGAGTTTGCACTTGTAAAGATTGTTTTTATCGCTTATTATCTCTTTATTTATATCAATTGTATACTCCATCCATGCATGATAGAGTATGATAGCATGTGGTCCTCCGAATGATGATTTTTATATGCTGACACAAACGAAATGCTTGCATGTACATTTTGTATTAACAAATTCTAGTGTAATTTACGCTTCAAACGACGATATAATGATATCGCTTAGACAAACATGACTTTTCGATTAAAGAAAAAATAGAATTCTGTATTAAACTATAAACATCAGGGACTTTCATTGTCAGGAACCTTTCATGTGTCGTGACCATAAGCCAATGGCGCACATAAGCATGATGAAATCTGAATAGTATTTTGTAGCAGATCAATTATGCAATGCCATGCTGTTAACAATAATTGATTCAATGTAGTTCAGCGAAAATGATTTGCTTCCGTTATACACTTGATTTTTGTGGCGGATAAGAGGTGTTTGAATAATGGTCGTTTTGTTATAATCTGCCGTAAATAATGCTATCGTTTCCATTAACATTTCCCTTAAGGCTATCAGCTACCAAAAAAAGTGACACAAATCTTCTTATCATGCTTAAATTATTTGAGGTACCTTTTAATTTGGAGGTTGTTGATTTAATTATGACAGCTTGTAGTACAGGTAAGAGAGTACACTGGCCCCCGTCTCCAGAATATTGAATTATTGAGATTTTTTATCTCAAAACATTTTGATCGCTTATGTCTGATTCTAAGTTCTATACTAGGGGGAGATAAGCTAGTGGTAAAATGCAGCCGAGAAATTCTT